ACATTCCTATTTGTCTTTGTTTCTCTTAAAAATAAGTATTTCTGATATCCAGTAGAAGTGCTAATTGTAGTCTTTTTAAAAGCAGCCTAGTTCTATTGGATGGTGATGACAGGCCAGAAGCATAAGATCTTTATTTAGTTTCTGCTCAAATAACGAGCATGTACCAGCATGATGAGCAGTGTTTGATGCTGTTGTGTCAAAACACAATGCTGCTACCTGATCTCCAAAACCCCAAGCTTCCAAACATTCATCAACTGCAGATACTTGTACTTCACCTGTTGCGGATGTTTAGGAACACCTAATAATTGCTCAACACTGAAATCAAGAAATGTAGAAGACAATGTACTGTTCATAAGATGTCAAATCTTCCATGAGTTTGCCGCTCCAGTGAATCGATAAAGGCACACTTGTAAAAAATTTTGATCTGAAATTTTTGGATTTTATTCTTCAATGGCTTGCTCTAGACCTTTGTATTTATTTCCAATTAATGTTTAACATCTCACATTATGCCCAAGACTTGATGCCACTTTACAGAGAACATATAAATGCATTTCTGGATGAGATCTTAGTTCTATCTAATGCAGATGTAATTCCAGGAGACATTATGTTGATTCTAGCTCTTGCAGGTGTTATTAATTTGCCACCTCTACTATTTTTTAATTTTTATTGATTTCTCCTTGTCTAACTTATTGTTATTATCAATTTCTTCTGATGCACTGGATGAAATTGATGAATCAGATTCTAGAACAATCTTGTTTGAACATTCTTCCATGTTGAACATTCTTCTTTTGATAATTTTCGATGCTTCAATTCTTATTTTTTTCTTTTCTAAGCACGTTTTTTTCTATGTGTTTCTACTTTATCAGAGGCACCAATTAAACCTGGTTGATCTTTTTGTTTCTGAGAGAGGAGGAATGCACTATCAGCAATTGAAATTATATTGAGTGCATTGGAATGTGTGATATCAAAAAGATCCCAAAGACAGTCGATGAATTCATCCTCTTTAATCTTATGTCCTTCTGTCTTTCAATTTTTATGTTTCAGAAGACCTTTCCATTAAAGAAACATTGCCTCCAATCTGTCTATACAATGTTTGGCTGCTCGAACAGATATTCCAGATTTGCAGGGATAACAGATGGTGCTTTCCAGCAGACTGGAAAGCAAGACTCTGATAAGTACCTTATAGACTACAGCTCTGGAAAACATTTTGGTAAGATTATAACAGATATGTTGTCCAGACCGCAACCTGTAGAAGAGTTTAAACAGGAAGTCACTTTAGATACAGAAGCTGGAGTGATACAAACGTATCACTCCAGCTTCATCAAAGCAATTAATCAACCTGTTTGTTGTCTAAATCAGGTAGAATGCAGCTAGTGGATTCAAAAGATAATATTATTGAGAAGTTCTTAGCAAACAATTCAGCTTTGCTCTTTAGGTAGTGGAATAACAGGTTTGCCCTTATTAAAGATACTGTTAAAGATTGTCCAGAAGTCATGAGAGCCTAATTTTTGAGATAAAATACAAGATTTTGTACCTTAGAATAGCGGGCTTTAGCATTAGACAAAATCTTTTTGCAATGATTTTTAGTAATAGTAAACTAGGCATAAGTCTTTGCCTAGGAGGCTATCTACAAGACAGTAGCCAGATGCTAAGTTATATATTATTCTCCATAACTTCATAACAACTCAACATCATCACAAGAATAAATTATTTTTTTTTTAATTGTTTCTTTTTAGTTGTCATTATTGGTTAATGGTTTTTTTAAATTAAGTGTTCCTTAAATGACTCATCAATTTGCATATTTCATGTTCCTTTAATGCTGCGGATAGAATATTTGTATTGTAATTTTTTAAACTAATAGTAATTAAATGCATTTAACGTCTTTCCAAGATACATATTTTTATCAAGACATTATCTCTAACCTTTGCTCAACTAGGAACCGCAAAACAGGGGGGTGTTTTTAGTCAGAGTTGGCATCTTCTAGCCTTTGCCTTAAAAAGCATATCCCACATGGCAGCATGACATTAAGCAGGTTGTACTTGGTTACATATTACCAGTGGTAGAATAACCCTAGCTGACAACAAGCAGGATAACTTGACCTGACAACAATATATATATATATATATATATATATATATATATATATATATATATATATATATATATATATATATATATATATATATATATATATATATATATATATATATATATATATGTATATATATATATATATATATATATATATATATATGTATATATATGTGTATATATATATATATATATATATATATATATATATATATATATATATATATGTATATATATATATATATATATATATATATATTTTATATATATATATATATATATATATATATATATATATATATATATATATATATATATATATATATATATATATATATATATATATATGTATATATATATTTATGTATATTTATTTACAACCCTTTCTTAACTTAGAAAAAAACCTTGATGAATAAGGTTGCTGCTCTGAGAAAACACGTTGAGCGTGGTACTATAAGGAGTGTGGTGAAATTGAACTCAGAACTTCTTATGAACCTTTTTAAACAGTTTGAGATTTATTGTAGATTTCATTTTTTCTATATACAAGAGCTATATATATATATATATATATATATATATATATATATATATATATATATATATATATATATATATATATATATATATATATATATATATATATATATATATATATATATATATATATATATATATATATATATATATATATATATATATATATATATATATATATATATATATATATATTCTGTTGCGGCACTATTCTGTTGCTGAAGAAATTTTCATGGTAACTGTGTTTAGTAAACTCTCTGTACTCTTTGTGTGGTTTTCCTTTGATATAGATAGACCATTTAGAATCGGAGGAAAAGTTGAGACATTGTAATGTTCAGCTATAGCAGCCCAGTACTTTTTTTTTTTTTCTTTTAAATTAAAGTTTTCTTATTTTTCTTAAGCCATTCGTCTAAACTTGCTTTAAAACTATTCAAATTTTTAGAATCTACAACTTTTTCCGGAAGTTTGTTCCAAATTTGGCAAACTCTGTGAAGAAATGGATTCTGGAGCTAACCGATGCACGAAATAAATCGTGAGGAGTAAAACACTGCATTCTATGTTTGAGACCTCTAATGGAAGAACATGGGCCATCTAATTTAATGCTTGACTTATAGACTGGTTTGACATTAAGGTTGACAAATTCTGGTTTGTTTAATATCATATATAAATGAATAAGGTCTTTTCGTTTTCTTCTGAGATTTAAATTAATTAAATCCATTTTAACTAGCCGTTTCTCATAACTTAGCATTCAGTATGAGTATGGTATTTTTGTGGCCCTACGTTGAACTCTTTCAAGCATTGAGATTTCGGCCACATTTGGAGGACTCCATGCTGGAGCCGCAAATTCAAGATGAGGTCGCACATAATTAGTATACAAAATTTTCCACATATAATAATCTCTACTTTCAAAGGCATTTATTATTAACCCCAGTATTTTTGAAGCTTTGTTAACACATACTTGTGTTTGATGCTTCCACCTCATATCCGGTTGTACAAAGACACCTAGATCTCTTTCTAGTACACTGTTTGAGTGGTCATAAATCATTCCATTTATATTCATTGTGTATGTTTTATCAATACCTCGAAAAACTTTCTGATTGCCGAATCTCATCACCTTACATTTTTTGCAGTTTAGTTCCATACCCCAATTGTTGCACCATTTCACAATGTTGTCAAGGTCGGTTTGCATTTCCGCTTGATTATCAATGGAATCTTCTATGGCTATTATTTTGCTATCATCAGCATACATTTTAAATGTGTTTAGCACAACTTCTGGGAGGTCATTTATGAATAGAAGAAACAACATTGGACCCAAAATAGAACCCTGAGGCACGCCACTGGTAACTGATACCCATTCTGAAACTGTATTACTAATAGCAACTCTTTGATTCCTATTTGCAAGAAAACTTTCAATCCAGTTATATATTTTACCAGTTATACCATACGCTTTAATCTTTGTCAATAATCTTTTGTGTTCTACTTTATCAAAAGCCTTTGCGAAGTCAAGATATATGACGCATAACGGTTTACCTTTTGCAGTTTCAAACGTAATTGTGTCAATTGTCTCAATAAGATTTGTTGTGCATGATTTGTTTGGAACAAAACCAGTTTGCTCCTCACATATAAGTCTATTTGAAACTAAATGTTGCAGAATTGTGTTTTTTGAACATTTTACAAATCACAGATGTTAGGGATACTGGTCTGTAGTTTTCTGGTTCAAGTTTTGATCCTCCTTTGTAAATTAGTGATACATTTGCAACAGACCAGTGGTAAGGGACACATCCAGTGTCAAAGCTTAATTTGAAAATATGAACAGCTGGGTCTACAAAACCTTCTGCAGCATGCTTTAAAACAAATGAACTAATTTCATCAAAACCCATCTTTGACTCATTCATACCTTTGACTCATTCATACCTTCTAACATTTTGAGAACTTTTTCATAGGTAATCATATTAGATAACTTACTGCAATCGCACTGGTTTTCACATCTTTGCAAGAATTTGGGTATTGGTTGGTCATTATCATTAACAAAGACTGACTGAAATTGCCTATTTAATATATCTGAAATGTATGATATCTCAGTTGTAACTTGATCTTTTTTGTTCTTGATTGCTCTAATTTGCGTTTTAATGTTTTGTTTTCTATTTGCGTATGAGAATAAAAGTTTTGGCGCAAGCTTTGCTCTCTTTACTAAATCCATTTCGTATTCTCGAGTTGATCTTTTGATTTGCTTTTTAACATTAGCACACATTTTGTTAAAAGCCTTTCGAGATTCTTGACTTTGCCGATGCAAATTTGAATAAAACATAGAATGTTTAATCTTTATTGCTTTTTTAATTTTTGCATCCAACCAGGGTTGACTATTCTTTTTTTTATTATTCAAAGTAGGAATAAACAATCGACAAGATTCATTATATGTATGCAAAAATAACTCATAACATTCACAGGCTGATTTGTTATAAAAATGCTCAACCCAGTTGACTTGTTTTAAGTATTTATTTATTTGAAAAAAATTACCTTTTTTAAAGCAAAACTTATCTTTTGTGAGTACTGTATTGTTACTAAGACTAGTAAAATATTGCCAAGTGATGGAGTAATGGTATCGTCCCTTTTCATAGTGGCTTAACTGTGGACCACATTGAAAAAAATCAATGCAATTTGGGTTGCAAACTAAAACAAGATCAGAGGTGTTAACTGCTGAAACAGAGTCATTTTGTTTGAATGTTGAAAAATTTACTATTTGGTATAGAGAACAATCATTTAAAACTTTAATAAACTCATGTTCAATTGAGTTTGCATTTGAATAAATTATTGGACCATCATCTGTCCAATCTATATTAGGAAAATTAAAATCTCTGACCACTATGAGATCAGTGTATTTTTTTCCACTTTTGAGTTTTAAAGCGGTTCTGATTGAATCTAGAATCAATTTTGAGTAACCAGCTGTAGAGTTTGGTGGTCTATATACACAACCAACAGTTAAATGAAAATTATTACAATTTATTGAGCACCAGACTTGTTCAATCTCTTTGTTGTTGAGATGCACATTTACAATTTCTATATTTGTAAGTCTTTTATTTACATAAATGGGAACACCTTCTCCAATTCTATCTCTATCTGCCTGATACAGTTCATAGCCATCAATTATTTTAATCAAATCCAATTTAAACCAAGTTTCTGCAATTGCAATAACATCAATTTCATATGCCAAAGCAGGTGTGGACAGCTCAGATAATTTATTAGAGCTACAGGAGGTAGCATTAGTATAATAAAATTTAATTGGTTTATAGTTAGTACTTGTATTTTGCTTTAAATAAATAGGAAGTTTTACATTACTCAGGTTTTGGTAAGATTTATAAGGTTGGCTGATATGAGTCCCTCTGGGCCTGCTTGGCAACGCTCTCTTTGACAAATGGGTGAACTTTGCGGTTGCCAATGTCTTTTGTTGTAGTGACGTCAATGCACAGTAATTTTCCGCTTCTAATGACAAATCAAAAGGACTGGTCTAGGTTATTATTGCGTTGCAAGTCCTCGTTCCTTCTCTCTTTATTTAATTGTGCAAATTCAGCCTGCTCATCAGGAGTGCGGTCAGGCCGTATATATACTTTTTTGTAGGCCTCAATATTGACAGTTCCCTTGCTGCAGCCAGCATCTCGTTTCGTGCTACTTCATTCTCAAATTCGACAACTAACGGTTCAGATGCATTGTTTACAAATGGGAACTTTAGATTTTAATCTGAATGTTGATTTTATTATTATTCGTCTGTTCAGCAAACGTATTAATTCGTTGACAATGTTCTCGTCATCTGTCTTGCGATTCTTGATTATATTTTTTTGTGAGTTAGGCAAACCAACAATTACAACATTTTAAGACTTTTTACTGGATAATATTTCATGACTTTTTGACACTTTGATGCTAGCATTATACAGCTCAGAACCTGGTTTGGCTAGTTGCTTAGCAATTTGGCTGTAACAAACAGTAGGTGAACTAGAAGGTGGTAAATTTGCATTGTTTTCTTCTAGTCTTTTTACTTTCTCACTAAGTTCAGCTATTGCTGCATCTTTTTCCTTTAATTTCACTTCAAATAGTTTAGTTTGTTGATTTAGTTTCACTTGAAAGTCATCCTTTAGCTCTTCAAATGCTTTGTTAATCATCAAAGCTATACAATTCTTTTGTTGGTCAGTGAGTTTAGTCATATCTCAATCCTCGATTTCCACCAATGAAATGACAGAGAAACAACCACTACAAACAACAGTGGATTACTTCTGTTGAGTTGATCTTTATAGGAGGGCTACCACTCTGAATACCAGTGGATTAACTCCTGTTCAGAATTATTAGAATATTTTATATCTTATTAACGCAAATACTTATTAACACAAATTCAACGTAGAGTTTTTATTTGTGTTTTTTCCGTGTTTTTTTTTTTTTTTTTATATATATATATATATATATATATATATATATATATATATATATATATATATATATATATATATATATATTATATATATATATCACAACAAAGTAGCCTCCTTGACTGTAATAGTCTTCTTGACTGGCGGAGGTAATCAACATTTAATTAAAACTAATAATACTTAATGCATAAAACATAATACAGTCGACTTTCGATATCTCGAATACTTGATATCTCGAACTTTTGAGTATCTCGAACTTTTTTAGCGGTCCCATGGACATAACATACTAGTTTAAGCTAAAATCCTCTCGATATCTCGAACCTTAATATCTCGAACTTTTTGGTATCTCGAACAATATTTTCGGTCCACAGGGCAATTTTCTCTCGTTATCTCGAACTTTTCAACATTTTTTTTTTCAATATTGTTTTAATAAAATTTAATTTTTTTTAAATTCAAATTTTCGAAAAAAAAAAATTTTTTATTTGATTTTTAAATTCGATTTTTTTTAAGAATCGAATTTCTGAAAAGTTTTCCTTTAATATATATTAATTTATTCTTTTTGTCAAACGCAACAACATGCCGCTCGTTAAACAAAAACTCACAAACAAATCTGTAATAGAAAAATGCAAGGCATTAAAAGACCTAGAGACAGGGATGTCTAACAAAGAGGTTGCCAAAAAGTATGGAGTCTCAAAGAACACATTATCAAACTGGATTAAAAATAAAACCAAGTTATTAACCTCACTGGCAGAAAATGGCACAAAATCTAAACGGAAGAAACTTCGTAGTGGTAATTTCAAAAATGTAGACAAGCCCATATACACGTGGTTCATTGCAAAAAGAAGTCAACAAGTAATAATTGATGGTACCATACTAAAAAAAAAGGCACAAAAATTCGCAGAAGCATTCGGAGAGTTGGATTTTAAAGCATCTGATTGTTGGTTTCATAATTGGAAAGAAAGTTCAGTTAAGTTTTGTCAAATCTTGTTCAATTTTAATATAAACAAATAACATGTATCTGTTTATATTTAATTTACTTAGTTTTTTAAACGTGTAATTAAAGTTCAATTATTCTGTTCCTATTTTTAGGAACGGCATCAGCTTTAAAATAATCTCAGGCGAAAGTGACGAATAATATGACTGCTTCGTGGAATGAAACTACACTTCCAACATTGCTTTTGAATTACAAACTTGAAAACATTTTCAATGCCGATGAGTTTGGACTATTTTACCAGTGCCTACCAAACAAAACATACCATTTATCACAAGAAAAATGTATTGGGGGAAAAAATAGTAAAGTCAGACTGACAGGTATAGCAGGAGGGAGTGCAACGGGAGAAAAATTACCTATGTTTGTTATTGGAAAATCTAAAAACCCACGTTGTTTTAAGCACATTAAACAACTTCCTTGCACATATAAAAATCAGCTAAAAAGTTGGATGACCGGAGACCTTTTTACAGAATGGGTAATGAAACTTGACTCATTTTTTTGTGCTCAAGACAGGAAAGTAGCACTCCTGGTGGATAACTGTTCTGCCCACCCTCACATTGAAGGGCTAAGCAACATCAACCTAATATTTTTCCCCCCTAACACCACATCTGTCCTTCAGCCCATGGATCAAGGCGTAATACGAAGTCTTAAAGCTCATTATCGTCACAAAATTGTGCGTTTGTGTATCAAGGCTGTCGATAATAACGAACTCATGCCAAAAATTTCTATACTTCAAGCGATGAAAGATCTTGTTTCTTCGTGGAATGCTGTGTCAAAGGAGACTGTCATCAACTGCTTAAAAAAGCTAGTGTCAGCAAAACAAACAAGAGTATTGAAGAAGCTGATGATGATCATCCTTTTAAATTTTTGACAGAAGAACTTAACCGTTTGCGGAATCTTACATTGGTTTAGATTGCGATGTAGTAACCACCGGTTCACTTGCTACTTATGCTGAAATCATTGCTCAGATTTTAGACTCTAATTTTCAAAACGACGATAATGAAGTTGAAGATAGCGTTGACGAAGCTTTTTACGTCAAAGCCCCGCCACGCCCATCTGATATTCAATTAGAAATTGCTTTTGAAACGATTCAAAATGCTTCGCTATACAGCTCAAAATACGGAAATGAAATACAATCCCTAGCACTAAAACTTGAGGATTTAATGAAGATGGAAAAGATGGATAATTTAAAGCAATATCAGATAACAGATTTTTTCCAAAAGTTGTAGTTTTTGTTGTTAATGATTTTTTTCAGAAAAATAACTTGTTTTAATGAAAGTCAAGCAATTTTATTTATTTTCAACCCTTTTCTTGATGTCTCGAACTCTCGATATCTCAAACTTTTTTTCCGGTCCCCTTAGTCTTCGAGATATCGAGAGTCGACTGAATACTTAAAATACTAAAAGTATATACTTCAAAGATCCTTAAAATACTTCTTTGAAGATTTTTGCATTATACAATATAAAGGTATAACATAACTGTCATAAAAAGATGCCTGATTTTTAATTTTAATATTTTACTGTTTTAAACTTATATATACTTAAGCTTTTTAAATTTGAAGGTATATTGACTTAATGGTAAACAACAAATTTCAAATTTAAAGTTCAAATTAATTGTTTCAAGTTAAAATTAATTATTTTATATAATCAAAATTTTTTTTCACTGTTTCTCTTTTTATGCATGCAGTTTATGATTTGTAGGTTTATGAGCCTGGAACTAGTGATTTCATCCTTATTTGGATTGCATGGTTATTTTGCTATAAATATAGAATAGTACATATGTCATCATCATTAAAAAGAACAAACTCTGCAAGCTCTTTGCAGAAATTAAATTCGGGGAGAAAGAATGGAAATTTATCTGCTAGGTCAACTAAAAGTCAGGTATATTATAATATATTTTTTTAATAAAAAATGAAATTAAGAAATAGTAGTGATAATTGTGGTTATTATTTGTTGATTATTTCATTGAAAACAAGAATTTTTAGTTACTATATAACAAAGAGGTGGGCCAGATTTACATCCCCGGAGGCCCCCCGGAGGCCCCGGACCAAATCCATTTTCGAGGCCCTAAAAAATAATTTGCACAATTTTTTGATCACCTTTATTTTTGTTGTCACAATCAAAAACTTATTCAAATTTAAATAATTTTCAGGATAAGTTTTTTTAAAGATTTGCTTAAGAACAAAGTTTTTGCAATATTTTTCTCTGACACTTTTTTTGTTTGTCCAGTTGAATGAATTTAAGCATAAAACTACAATATATTTTATTATTAACTTTTTTAAATACATTGTACTTTTTAATTTCTTACATATATAATATAATAAATATTTTCTCTATGAAACCTAAAATGATAAGACTAAAACTAAAAAATAAATTATAACTAAGAACATAAATGTTAATGAATTACGTTTATATAAATTCATTTCAATGCTTTTCTTGAGAAAGTTCATCAATTAGAGAACCTATATCAATAAGTCAATTTGCATTACTTAATAATATTGACAAGTTGTTTAAAGTTTCTTGGTTCATAGTTGACCTTGAAAGAATTTTGGTTAATTTAAGTTTTGAAAAACTTTTTTTTCTGGATTATAATAAAACATTAAAATTTAATTTATAATAGTGATCCCAAACTTGAAGAATGTGTTCGTAACACATTCTTCAAGTTTGGGATCATCAAAAAAAATTACATTCTTGGATGTCTTTTGTAATAAAACATTAAAAGATTCTCAAAATTATCTCAAGATTTGGGAATGCAATTTCCATATTATAATAATATAAATTTCTGTGATAAGGTTGTATATAAACAAATGTGTTACATCTGATTATTAAATTTGTCTTATGAATTTATGGATTGTACAACTTTATCAAACATGTCAATATCTTGATATTGTTGAACAATTTCTTCAACATGTTTCTAAAGTTTTTGAATCTTTTCAAAAAGAACATGTTAGATCAAAAATCCAAAGGCTTTGTTTGATCAATCAAAAATCTAAAGGTTTTGTTAGATCAATCAAAAATCCAAAGGTTTTGTTAGATCAATCAAAAAAATACAATTTGTTTTGTTAAATTCTTCATAAACATTTTTTTTTTAACTTTCTGAATTATGTCTATAACATTAATAAAATAATATTTTTAAGTTTTTCTTTTTTTTTTTTTGATGACCCCAAGCTTAAAGAATGTGTTCGTAACACATTCTTCAAGTTTGGGATCATCAAAAAAAATTACATTCTTGGATGTCTTTTGTAATAAAAAATCTGTACCAGGAAGTAATAATTTTTTGGAGTCTGGATATAGTCTGCAAGTGAAGAAAAAAATAAATAAAATGTATCTAATCTTATTTTTGAATTTTGTAAATCTTCTGATACTGAGTTCGTACTTTCTAGAATTGTATTCCAAAAAACTGTTTGAATAGCAAACTCAAGCTCTTCCATTTTTGATAAAATATTCTGAGTATTAGCTCCGCTGTTTAGCTGATCTTGAAATATTTTCATAACACTTTCTGGATATAATCTCTCATTTCATCTGTTTTTAAAAGTGGTTTGACCATATGTTATGAATTGTTTTCAAGAATTTTGAATTTGCTAAATGATACCAATAATAATTTTTTCTAAACAAGCATCAGCTCCTGAAATTTTTAATGTTTTTTAATCTGGTTTTAGCAAGAGGAAAGTTAGAAATCTTCAAAAATTTACGCTAAAGACAGAAAATTTTTCCTTTTGCTGAGAGTTTATCAACCACTCACGGTTGTACCTTTCACCGTTAGCTATTTGGCATGTAAAAATCAATTTTGAAAAAAATATTTGTAATTTTTGTAAAGTTGTTTTGACTCTTGTGATAGGATTGTGATTATTGTAAAGTTGCTTCTTGAAATTCTTAAAAAAATCCAAAATAAAATGTTGTAATTGGAATGAGTGACCCATTAGCTAATGTAATCTATTAATGCTCAAATCACAACCTTTAACTAATGATTCAGGAGCTTTTGGCTGTATAGAATCTTGAAAAACATTTTCATAACCTGATTGTTCTCTTTCAACAGAGTTTTCTATAGACTCTGCATCTTCCACTTTGACAATAAATCCATTAAGTTTTGGATTTTTTGGCTTCACATTCTTTTTCCTTTTTTTTTTCTTATGCTTTTGAGCTTCACTTTTATAAAATCTTCTTGATGACATCATCATTTCTTTTTCTAAATATAGTAAGTTAAGTTAAAAAAAATTATTCTAAAAGTGAATGTGAAGTTTATTTATTTACCTTAAGTATTGTTTATTGGTTTAATTTTTATTTATTTTAAATTTGATAAATTTATATTAATTAAAACAAAACAAAGATTTATTCATGTTATTTAAAAGAAAATATTTTTTATGTTTGTAACTTTGACTTGATTAGTTAAATGAATTAAATATTACAAAATAATTATATAGTGATATAGTCTCACATATATTTATGTATACAATATATTTTATATAGTGTAAAACTTTGTTTTCTCTTGCATCAACTGTTCTTTAGTTTAATGCTACAGCCTCAATTATGGAAATTTATGCTGTAATTGGGGGAATTAAAGGAAATTGGGATACTACCTTCAATCCCAATTTCCTTTGTGTGTTGGAATTTTTCTCCAAGGAAGTCACAATGTTGCAATTGTTAATGATTGTCCAAAGGGAATTGTGTATCATTTATTAAAATATTGTGTTTTTTTTAATATATCTCTAAAAACTCTAACAAATTTAAACATATTTAAAATCACTTTAGGGCTTCAATTTTTGGTGGGGATAGGGTGGGGGGTAGGAGGATGTTGAAATATTTTTGTATTTTGTATCACATTTTTGTCTCATAAAAAATAAAAGTCCTTCATTCCTAAGATATTTTAGGACTTTCAGATTCTAGTGGGGTGGGGTTGAGGATCATCCCTCCATTCCTCCCCCTGGATCCATCACTGGCCTGATGCTAAGATCCATTATTAGGTTACTAAATTTTGTATTTTCTCTCAGAAGTTCTTTTCTTGAGATTTTAAAATTTTTTTACAGTGTCATTAACAAAGACAAGTCTTTTCTCTCATACATTGATCTCATATATTGATCTCATACATCGATCTCATACATTTATCTCATACATTCATCTCATACATTCATCTCATAAATTCATCTCATATATTGATTTCATATAGGAATATATGATCATATATTCCTATATTTTATATAGGAATATATGATCTTTTTGATAATCTTACCTTCAAAGTTCATTTGTTAATGACACAGTTAGATACTCTGGTCTTGTCATCACTTTTTGATTGTTTAAAACAGACAGTTGATCTAGAGTCTGGTCTTTTATTTGTGATAGCAGCTTGAGTCTGTTCTTTAATTTGTGACAGCTTTTAGGCTTGTATTGGCTGGTGAGTAAAATTCAAAACAAAAGTTGTTTACTGATAATAAGTATTTTTGATATTTCAATATATTCATGAATTGCAATATTTTTAGTCCTCTGCTTCATTTCTTCTTGGATTATCATTCACTACTGACCTCTCATGGAAACCATATAAATAGTTTTATATATATATATATATATATATATATATATATATATATATATATATATATATATATATATATATATATATATATATATATATATATATATATATATATATATATATATATATGGTACCCATAATGCGCTTGCCATTTTCTTACTTCTGATTTCATTCTCTAATTCTTTAAATCTTTTATTTGTATAGAATCTTTCTGTCATATCCTTTCATATCCGCATATTTATACATATATCATAGCTGTATCCTTTAACTGTTTCTGCCATAATTAGACTTTTAATGAGGTTTTCTCTCCCAAAAACACATTGTAGAGGTTGTTTTACCTGCTCTAGCCACTAATTAATAAAAGTCATTAAGTCACTAAGTTATGTCATGTTTAGTTAGAAAAAGTATGTTATTTTAATTTGTTACACAACAGAATTTATTTTATAATATTTATATGCAATAAACTTAAGCACTTTGTAATACTGGGTTAGGGTAGCGGATATTAATTAAATTTAACTAGATGATTACTGTCATATTAATAGCTACATTTTCTATTTATATTTTCTAATTATATTTTCTAATTATATTTTCTAATTATATTTTCTAATTAAATTTAACTAAATGATTACTGTCATATGCATAGATGAGTTTTTTCCGGAAATTCACTTGAAACACCTTTAATTTCTCCAGAAATTTCTGGATGTTTTTTGATATTGATTTGAAAAAAGTTAATATATTTTTACATAAAATTTTACATACGACAACTTATGCATTTAAACAAATATGTTTTCTATAATTGAGATTTTCACGAGATCAATTTTCTTAACAATTTTTTTTCTTTTTTTTTTTTTGCTTTTTAATTCATTCAAACTTTTTTGAATATTAGAAATTCCTTTTTGTAAAAAGTTAAATAATCTAAATTCCGTTTTAAAATAACCTAAATTCCGTTTGTCAGTTAAATGCGATCAATTTTTAATAAAATAATTTTCTGGGATTTTCAGGGATTATCATAGAAAAAAAATTTCTGGGATTTTCATAAGTCAAATACTTATCTATGCATATTTATAGCTTCATTTTCTGTTTAGGAAAGTGATGTTTCGGATGTTTTACAAGTAGCAGGGATTTCAAATGTAAAGTCAAAGCCAGGTTGTTTATTTGTTATTTTCTACTGTTTTATAATTTAAAAAATTATGGCTTAAGATAAAAAATGTTCTTAACAATTTCTATTGAAAATATATATATTGAACACAATCTAAAAAATTTGTTAGCAGATGGGTACAGGATTGTTAGCAGATGGGTACAGCATTCTAAGCAGATTGGTACAGGATTTGACAACTAAGCTCTGCATTTCCTTTTATAATAAGAAAGTTAATTTTTCTAATTCTTCTTAATACAACTAAAGTGACTCACTGTTAGACTGATTTCCGAATTATTTGCATTACAAATATAACAAAGGGATAAACATTTTACAACTTTTCCAAACAATAAACTAAAAAGGTTTTATGACAGTTTTTTCACATTGTTAACACCTGTTACACCACAAAAATTAAAAACCAAATCATGAAACAAAAATCCATAGCACGGGTTAGCTAATTATGGGAAATTGTCTGAGCTTGTCAGAGACTTGATCTGAGATGGTTATGAAAGTTATGAGAAAAGTTTAAATTTAAAAAGTATAATAGATTTGCTTACAATAATCAAAATAAAGCCAAAAGATATAATTAAAACAAAACTTTTAATACAGTGTCACCTTTTGGCGTCCAATTAATTTCAAAGGATGGAAACCTAAAGATAAGATTGAAGTGAAAGATGAGATCTTTAATCTTGCATTCAATTATCTGATGGCAAGTCTATTTAAGTAAACTTCAAGTTACAATGATAGATGACAAAGTCCATACTGTCTTATTGAGTTTAACGAATTCTAGTTGATAGTTACATAAATGTTCTACTATGTAATACCAACAGTTTTTGTTATAATTGTTTTATTGATACAACTGCTGTTTTCATTTTATAGACCAAAATAATGATTTGCTATTAAAGCGTGGTTTGACTTGGCTCATGAATTGCATGAAAATATCAGCATTTTCGAGGTATAAACTACCTTCGAAATTCATGAAAATGATTAAAAATGGTTGAAAAGCTTTTATAAAGATACCTTCATAAAAAATATAAAAATTTAGATAAGATAACTAAATTAACTGACAATTAAAAAGTTGGGAGGGCTTAGATTGTACAGTTTCTTGTAGCTTTCATAAGATTTCTTAATCTTCTTCACTACTTGTTCTGTAACCTGAAATCTTGAATCGAATCCACCCATGTTCTATGGGAAAAGGGTTGATTTGATTCAAGATTAAACAGTTCAAATATGCAGAAAGTTATAATTTTGATTTAGAAAATACTTTATAATGCTTTAATATATAATTAACTCATTTGGAATAAAAGGTTTTTGTTTCAATGTTGTTGATGTTTTGTTTCAATTGTATTAACCTTAGTACCTCTTAAACACTACAAACATCTTTACTGCTAGGAAATATTTTTACTGCTAGGAAACATCTTTACTGCTAGAAAACATCTTTACTGGTTTCAATAGTGTGAAAAATACTCCTTGTTGTTATTGGGCTCAATCAAAAAGTTGGATGTTGGCAGAATTATTTGAGGAATGGGTTAAAGAATTTGATCTAAAGATTGGTTTTCAGAAAAGAAATATTGCTTTAATTATAGATAATTGTTCTGCCTATTCTAACATGCTAATATCCTAACATCCTAACATGCAACATGCAGAAATGGCCAATGAGTTAGTAGACATAGATTTTAATGTTTACATTGCCAACATATCATCAGATTGTTGCAGAATTGCAGAAGTTTCTGGACATGATGCTATTGAAACTGAAGAGGAATCCGATGACGAGCGTGTTGATGTTTCTGACGATGCTACATAACCAAGTTTGAATGAGGCAGTGCATGCTATTACTGTACTTGAAAGTTACATTCTTTATTCTAACTTTGGGGGTAATTTGACAAAAGCTCTTAAAGATATAAATCCTGTCATTAAAATGAATTTACAAGCTTGTAAATAAAAATCTACTATTACTGGCTTTTTTTTTTCCAATATGTAAAAGTTTAAAACACATAATACTTATTGCATTTAGGCCTAAGAATTAGTATTTGTTTGTTATTTGTTTGTTTGTTTGATTTTTATTTGTTACTTTGACAAGAATATTTGAAAAAAATTCAACTTTCTATAATTCGAAAATCTCTCCAATTCGAACTTTTATTTTTCCCCATAAAATTCGAATTAAAGAGATTCTGTTGCATTATTATGCCTTTTTGATCATTAGATTTTAAAAGAAAGTCTAGATTGCATTTTAAAGCATTTCTAGGAGAAAAAATTTGAAAAATACCTATACTTACACTTAAGTTTAGCAACCAAAATTACTTCAATACTTTTATATTGTTATGAATTTTTCTTTTTATGTGTTTTTAGCTCAGTCAAAAGTAAAACCTGCCCTTATTCCTAACAAAACAACACAAGTATTGACACCTCATATTGTTGATTCATTTAGTTCCAGGTATTTATAATTTTTTTTACTTCACTTGCATTAATACACACATACACACGCACACACACATACACACACAAACACACAAACACAAATGCACACATTTTAACCCTGTGTTCAGTGACTGAATTTGAACATTTAGGTTTATATGTATTTGAGTTTTAAAGTTTTATTTTTGCCTTGAAATTTTATCTACATATCCTTTATTATCGTGTTTTTCATTCAATTTCTATTAAACTTTATACATTGATTAAGTGATTTTTAATTAAGAGTTTATTATTTCTATTGCATCTATTACCTATATTCTATTATATTTTTTTTTACTATAGAGTCATTCCATATGAAATGTCTCAGAATTGCTTTATATTTACATTATTTGCAGT